ATTTGATAACAAGGTGATTTTCATTGCATGTGTGGGTTATTAAGCAGGTTTAATCGATGTCTGTGGAGCTGCATATCCAGCAGGGCATGTTCTTAAAGCTGCCTTTCCTACACATTTCTCTGCTATTATTTGATCATTTCTTAACTACTTTGCTATGAGTCGACTGGTCTTTGCATAACTTTTCATCACACTAAGTGACTTGGACAAGATGATAACCAGACTCACATGCTCAAGATGCTGTCTAATCTTCATGAGCTCTCTTGTGTTTGTAAGCGTTAGTAGGGTTAATACATTTTCTGTTTGTGTGTGTGATTTTGTATATGTTTCTTTTTGCAGTGTTTCAGACTCCTTCACAATTTTCCCACTTAAAGCAGTTTCCTTTTTTCCCAGGATTGCTAACCCAAATTTTGATTTCCCACACTAAACGACAGCCTTGCTCTGTGTCCTCACCTGCTCTTCTCACTCCGTTCTCCTCTCCCTCTTTGCAGTCCAATGGCAAACAGTTTTCTTCAGCTTTGTCCTGTGTCATCCTCACTGTCTCATCTTGTCACTGATTTTAATAAAATATTACATGAATTGCAATGTCTTTGTTGCATTTGTTGAAGATGAAATATGTATGGAATGGGACATGTTGAAATAGAATAGTAAAAAATTATTTTTTTCATCCATCCATCCATGTTCTTCCGCTGATCTGGGGCTGGGTCGCGGGGGCAGCAGCCCAAGCAGAGAAGCCCAGACCTCCCTCTCCCCAGTCACCTCCTCCAGCTGTACACCAAGGTGTTCCCAGGCCAGCCGAGAGATATAGTCTCTCCAGCGTGTCCTGGGTCTGCCCCGGGGCCTCTTCCCGCTGGGACATGCCTGGAAAACCTCATCCAGGAGGCATTCTTGTCAGATGCCCAAACCACCTCAGCTGGCTCCTTTCGATGTGCAGGAGTACCGCTGCACCAGACCGTCTGCCGATCCCCCGCTCCCTTCTCCCATCACTCGTAAACAAGACCCCGAAATACTTAAACTCCTCCAGTCAAAGGAGTCTAATCGCCTGAGCCAAGGTGTGAAACTGGGTGTGGGTCCCAATCAGCCTGGGTGGCTGACCCCCTGATGATTAGAGGATCATCAGGGGGTCCTTTTGTCCCTCTGTGGGGGGATACTCCCACTAGGTTTATATCTGGGATTCTCCACCATTTGACCTTAGAACTGAAGAAGCTTCTCGGATAAGAGGTGAAACGTCTTCAAGTAACTTAAAGAAGTCCAGACGCTTTTCTTTGCAAGCTCCTTTGACTACGATGACCTGGATGACTGAGAACCTTCACAGACTTAAACTCCTCCACTTGGGGCAGGGACTCGTCCCCGACCTGGACCTTCACACCGAGCTGCCAACCATTCCAATGCAAGCTGGAGGCCATCACCCGAAGAAGCCAACAGAACCACATCATCTCCAAAAAGCAGAGATGAGATCCTGAGACCACCCAAGTGAAAGCCTTCCGCCACTTGGCTATGCCTAGAAATTCTGTCCATAAAACTTATGAACCGAATTGGTAACAAAGGGCAGCCCTGGCGGTGCTCATCACTCACCAGGAATGAGTCCGACTTATTGCCAGCTATGCAGACCAAGTTCTTGCAACGGTTGTATAAAGACAGAATGGCTCGTAGCAATGGGCCAGGCACCCCATACTCCCGGAGCACCCCCCACAGGACCCCCCAAGGGACACGGTCGAATGCCTTCTCCAAGTCGACAAAACACATGTAGACTGGTTGGGCAAACAAATCCCATGCACCCTCAAGTATCCTTGAGAGGATAAAGACCTTATCCAGTGTTCCGTAACCAGGATGAAAAAAATATTGTTCCTCTTGGATCCGAGGTTCGACTAACGGACAGACTCTCCTCTCCAGCACCCTGGCATAGACTTTCCCAGGGAGGCTGAGGAGTGTGATTCCCCTGTAGTTGGAACACACCCTCCGGTCCCCTTTCTTAAAGATGGGGACCACCACCCCGGTCTGCCAGTCCATGGGTACTGCCCTTAATCTCTACGCAACATTGTAGAGGCGTGTCAACCAAGACAGCCCTACAACATCCAGAGCCTTCAGGAACTCGAGGTGGACCTTGTCCACCCCAGGGGCTCTGCCACCAAGGAGTAGTTTAACTGCCTCAGTGACCTGGCGGGTCATCCGCCACGGAAGACGTGCCAGTGGGATTGAGGATGTCCTTGAAATATTCCTTCCACTGCCTGACAATTTTCTCAGTCGACGTCAGCAGCACTCCACCAGCAAATAACCTGTCCAGGATGGCGGAATTGTATACGGCAGGCCGTCTCTCTGTTAAGGATTTTATCTCTGAATTTGCTGACTTACTAGGGAGTGTTTTCTCACACTGTGATTGTATTTTAATTGTTGGCAATTTTAACATTCATGTTTGTTGCGAGGACGGCTCACTAGTCAAGGACTTCCTTGCTCTTATTGATTCATTTAATCTCACCCAGTGGGTGGGTGATCCAACTCACACAAAAGCTCACACACTCGACTTGGTACTGTCCCATGGTTTGGATATCTGCATCACGGACATTAACAACCTTGGGATTTCGGACCATTTTCAGATTTTATTTAACACTGTTATTAACAATGTTGATTTGTATAGCGATGGTTCTCTATGGCAACGCACTCGATGAGCTCTCAGTCATTTGCTCATTTCACTGCTGCTTTTCTTGATTCTCCTCTTTCTGATGTTAATGGTATTGCGGATTTATCAGCGGAGGAACTTGCCAACCTTTTTAATACTACATGTGCCGACATTCTTAATTCGGTGGCACCTCTGAGGACAAAAAGTGTCAAAATGTTACGCCAACCCTGGCTTAATGACACTACCCATGCCCTTAGGTGTGAATGTTGGCGCGCTGAGCGAAAATGGAAAAAAGATCAACTCCACGTCTCTCTGGACATTCTTCGTAAATGTCTATCTAGGAATCAAAAGTGTGTTAAAGCTGTTAAATCTGTCTTCTTCTCTGGTATTATCAGGTCTAACTGCCATAATGTCCGAGCCCTTTTTAGTATTTTTAATTCCTCGATAAACCCTTGCCTTTTCACTTATAGGGATGCCTCCCCTGTACTTTGTGATAATTTTTTAAACAATTTCACTGACAAAATTTTAGTTCTGAGGGCATCTCTCTCATCTCAGTCATTGTTAGTTTCTGACCCTGTTCCAGTCCCTGAATGCTGGACTGTCTTTCAACAGTTCAAGCCACTGTCTTATTCTGATTTAACAGCTATAATTGATCATCTCAAAATCTCTAATTCCCCCCCCATGATATCTTTCCATCTGGTTTTCTTAAGGAAGCTTTGCCCACTATTGGTCCCTCCAACTTTTACTGAATGTATCACTGTCATCAGGTTGTGTATCGTCAGTATTTAAGCATGCTGTCGTGCAACCCATTATAAAGAAAAAGAATCGTGACCCTAGTGCTTTAACTAACTACAGACCAATCTCCAAACTCCCCCTTATATCCAAAATTCTGGAAAAAGCGGTTCTAGAACAACTTCAGACCTTCCTTGATACTAACAGTATCAATGAAAAATTTCAGTCTGGCTTTAAACCTCGCCATAGCACTGAGACAGCGTTACTTAGGGTTTTTAATGATCTTCCTTTAACTGTGGACTTGGGCCATTCCGTGGTTTTAGTTTTACTAGATCTGACTGCTGCCTTTGACATTGTCGACCACAACATTCTCATTTCAAGACTGGAACATGTCATTGGTCTTAAAAACATAGCTTTATATTGGTTCAAATCCTATTTCTCAGAGAGGTTGTTTTCCGTAGCCATGGGGCAACACTCCTCGGCCTCTGCCCCCATTCACTGTGGTGTGCAAACAACAAAGAGCAACATAATAAAAAAAGCGGCACCATCACAATAAACTAGCTAGCAGTAGATATCAGTAGATACTAAGTAATAAACAATATTTTGCAGCACGCAAGATAGACAGCGCACAATGTGCTTTGAGGCAGCAGCCAAGAAAGCTGTAGTCCGCGTCTGTGAATACCCGTGTGTAC